GTCGATAAAGGGTTCCAACAGTTTCCTCCATGGCAAGTAAAGATGAACAGAGCAGGGTTTTTCAGGTATTACTTGAAGTATTTCCCTTTCAATATAGGCCTCCCCAAGTTCCTCAAAAACAAATGATACAATCACCAGGTAGCCCTCTCCCAGTGCATTGTGGGCCCTACAGGTCCTCTGTGTAGATGATGCAGGGACTAGTATCCTCACTGGACTCCAGCTTCACCGTGGAGACGAACCAGCGGCGGGACCCCGTGGCGTTGTAGTTGAGCGTGGTGCGGTACGTGTTCTTGGCGTGCTTCGGGTAGATGATGGTGGTGCTTCGGTAGCTGATGGGTTTCTGCCGCGGCTCCAAGTAAACTTGGGACTTGTAGCTCCTCCAGGTGCAGTTCCTCACTGCCACCACCGTCTCGCTGAAGGAGGTTGGCGTGGGAACCGGGGTGCAGTACACCTGGTCCTGGTAGTGCTTGTCCGAGTCGTACTTGACCTCGGAGTTGCATCTGTAAGGAAAAAGAGGGGGACAAGTTTTTAGAAAGGCAGCTAAAGTTGACCGCTAGGTGGCAGTGTTGTTAAGAGAGAAGATCAAATGTTACTTTAATAATCCCGAAGAAAATTCTTGTGCCAGATTAATACAAGAATAAAAAAATATGGGTACAAATATGAAGTGTATAGGAAAATAGAAAAAGCGTGGAAAAGAGTAAGACCCTTTTTTTCTTACAATATTACGACAACATGAGAATAACATCAAGGGTACAACATGTATGTTACGCTAATACTATCTCAGTAAGATAAGTATGCTAAAATAGTTTTGCACATTATTTTGAGAGCAATATTGGCAAAGTTTTAAAAAAGTCACAGAGATGTAATACATATATATGAATACATAAAGGTATATTTGTGTGAATGTGTTATTCATAAAAAATAAGACAATTAGGCTCCAAATAGCAACCTCTGTCATTATGCTTCAAAGTTCCCTTACTTGATTTCCTGCTCCGGTTTGGGGTTGACCTCGATGCTTTCTCCGAAGAACACAGGATGCATGCGGGTCTTTGGGTCTGTGCCCGTGGAGTTCAGTAGCAGGTAGGGCAGCTGGGCAGAGGAAACACAAGAGTCACAATCTCACAAACACATCCATGAACTGCTGAACTGTTGGTAACAAGCCTGCCAACGTGTCCATTCAAGGAATTCTTGTTAAAAAAATGCCAGCGTGGTTGGGGGTTAAACCAAATTAAAACCACTTCAGTAGTCCCCACCCTCTCCAGGAAAACCTGCTCCTTGATACGCCCTCATGAGAACTCGCCTTGGACGTGGAACAGCTAATACTACAACAATAATTAGACAAGAAGCACAGCAGTTTGGGCAACACTTCCATTTTAATCAGATAATTACACTGTGTGGGTCCGGCCCAATTAAGTGGTGGAGGTAAAACGTTTTTTTTCTGTCTGTCTAGAGACGTGTGGCTCTGACATAGACATAGATGTGTGTGTGTGTGTGTGTGTGTGTGTGTGTGTGTGTGTGTGTGTGTGTGTGTGTGTGTGTGTGTGTGTGTGTGTGTGTGTGTGTGTGTGTGTGTGTGTGTGTGTGTGTGTGTGTGTGTGTGTGTGTGTGTGTGTGTGCATGCATGCGTGCATGCGTGCGTGCGGACTGAAAATAGGCTAACAGATGTTGAGGCCTGCAGATGTTACAGAATGCAAAACTAAAATGACTGGTGGAGATGATGCTCTCAGAAGTAAGGGGATGATATTAAAGATTCTCATTTAGTCTGGCCAGCCTGAACAAAATGGGTTCACATTGGCAAGCATGCATGTGTGTGATGGAGACCCTCTAATACTCATGTACATTGTTTAAAACCCCTTAAACCCCTTAACCCTTAAATGGGGATAATGCTTTCCCGTATGAATAAGAATAATCTACTAAAAATCCAATAAACCAATAATGAGTACAACAAACATTCCTAAACTCCTGTTACAATCATACTACTCATTCTGGTCATGGGATACATTCAGAGTGTCTGCTTTACACAGTGTGCCACACCAGATGGGATACAGATACACTGTACTCAACTAACTGTACAGTATGAACCAGGTCTGTTTTAGCACTGACCTTTTACCCCTGAGTGTCCCCTCTGGGGCCACAGGGGGACAAACAGAGCTGCACCAATCACAATCACAGACACTGTCACACACTGACCGTTTTATTTGCATGTGTGTCTCTGGCCAATCTGAATCAAATGGCACCCCAACCACAACTCCGACACCTCTCACGTTACACACGAGAGGCTGTCACATGCTGTGGTTTGGCCACAGCAGAGCGTACATGCCTCTGCAGGGGACGAGCGAGAACAGGCCAAGGGCACGGCACATCGCTGAGAGAGGCTCCTCTTACCTACCATCATCACCCACACACTATCTGAGCGCTGGAGCTGGACTTGCACAGCTGCTAGTTTTACCACCAGACTGAAACAAAGTTAATCTGCGGCCTCTTCTCTTTTTGATGCTGGTACTTCATGGCCTAAAAAAATGGTAGGACTTGGGATTGTCTTTACCGCCACTGCTCCGGCATGGAGAGCATCCCAGGTATTTCACAGTGTGTTCTGGCAACTTCTGCAAAGCAAACATTGGTGAATAGGAGAGGTCACCTCCAGACAGTGGATCCCCCAGAATGCTCACAGAGCATAAACTCCCCTGGAAGCACATTTCTGCCCAGGAAAAACACTGTGCAGCTGAGCCACCCACACAATGTACAATGCACAATGTAGAGCTGCAGAGAGAAACGCCAACTCAAACACACTTCTCCAACTGCCTGCTGTTTGGGGAAGTGATCTGACTTTGCATCCTGGTGTTTGCAAGGACGTTAATGTAAGAGCATCGGTACCACACAGCGAGGCAGATTTAGAAAATTGTCATGAGATATGTCTCCTGTCCGTCCTCGATTTTAATCCACCGACACTTGACCGGAATCCTTGAGGACATGAACACAACCTTCTGCAGGTCTGACAGATAACATGGCCACACTCATTTGTTGCATGCCTCTAGTCCCTTTTGTTAGTTAAGACCTTCGTAAAGACACAGTATACAAATATGTATCCCACATCTGTATACATTTGAAAACAGGGGTGCTTCACGTTTCATTTAGAAGTGAGAGGTCATCCAGCTCTTATGCAATGGCCTGCAGCCGCTCTAACAAGACCCAGAATAGAACTGGAGGATTGTTGGTAGGTGGCGTACAAAAACAACACATAAATAGATTTGGAAAAGAAAAACAAATGTATGCATCCTCATGTCCTCACAGTCATGTAACTTGACAACTTTTCTGATGAAGAGTTTTGGTTGTTTCCATACACAGCTACACTGATGGGATTAGCAACACAAGCAGCCTCTATCAGGACGGATCTTTAGAAGAAAAACACAAAGCAGAGAAGTCCTGCTAATCTGAACCTCCAGAGGATTAGAGGATCTTTCTCTTTCTCTGTTTCAGGCTCCAGCAAACCAATGTCACGCAACTCTCAGGATGCAGCGCTGCATTTCTGAGGCCTCCCTCAGACTCTTTAAAAGCCACCCCGACCTGTGCAGACATGTTCTGAAAACGTTTGAGAATGGGAGTGACCTGGAAATCATTTTCAATCAAATCAACCTTGTCACAGAAAACCACTGAGTCATTAGTAGCCATTTTAATTATTAAAAATCTTTCCATGGAACATAATCTATTCTGTGTAGTGACATGTCTGTCCTCAGATGAATAAGTACTAATGTTGCCTCAGGGTTACTGTTTGATGGTTCTATGTACAGACCAGTAGTTCCAGTTTTCCGATCAGATGTAATATAGACAGAAAATAGATTCCCTATGGCTCCAAAGCTCTTTGTGTTTTTCAGAAAATAACTGAAACAAAAAAGTGCACAATTTGTGAGTTTAAGATGTTAATAATGGTTGACTGTTAATACGTTTTTCTAAATATTTCAGCTTTATACATGGACTTGCTGATGTCCATGGTGAGATTTGAGCTGAGACAGGCATCAAACGGGTCCAATGAATCCACACACATTTACACATAAAAAGTTATTATTCATTTTCCAGATAAATAATCTACTGCAATTTAGGGGTGTAACGGTATCCGTATTCGTCTCGTACCGTCACGGTTCGGACGTCACGGTTCGGCACATGCAGTCACACGACGAATACGCCTTTTTTTTACGAGTGGGAAAAAAGTCTGTCATCCACTACACTATATATAATCCAGGGGGCGGTATTGCGCCTAAAAGCTGTTTGCCAGCCGCCCTTAAACAACAAATGAAGAACAAGAAGAAACACAACAACAAAACGAACAAAATACAAGAAGAAGAAAAGTTAGTATGGCGATTTCAGATAACACACAGGAGCTAGAACCTATACAGTCTATGGCTTTTTTTTTTTAAATCAGCTGTGTGGGAACATTTCGGGTTCCCTGTGGACTACAACAACGATGAAGTGCGAGTGGTGGATCGGACGAGGACGGTGTGTCGGCCTTGTTAGACAGCGGTGCGGTATGCTCATGGGAACACACGCCAAACATGCTAAATCATATCAGAAGGCATCACCCAGATTTGCCTATCACCGGAGCCCGGCAAAAGACAACAGCAGTTCAACAGCTGATCCCCGCTGTTTTTAAGAAGCCAATAGACATGAAAGCCGTGAGACCAAAATAAATAACGGAAGCTTTTGGCATATGTTTTTTAACGACTTTGCGCTCTTGAAACACTTTCTTATTATTTATGATGTCATATTTTCAAGACATCCTTTTTAGTTTTACAGCTTGATGAAACCTTTTTGTTTGACATCAGCCATTATAGATAATATGGCCATCTGAGTGTGTGTGGTACTGTTTGTGGTTTGTTTTTAACTGTTTAATACAGTTAATTATTCAAAATGTCAGAGTTCCTTATTTTTAAACTGAAACTTGCACTACTGTTCAAACATAAATAACAACAAACCTGGAATTATGCATTTGGGACTTTTTTTTTGCTTTTTCTTGTTGTACCGAACCCGTACCGAACCGTGACCCCCAAACCGAGGTATGAACCGAACCGTGACTTCTGTGAACCGTTACACCCCTACTGCAACTACATTGTTTTCAATATTCATTCAAATGCTAATAGTTTTCTAGCTTTTTGGATTCATTGCTTGGTCGGAGAATACTGAAACATATCCATTCCAGTTTCTCAGTCTTTAAATGTTTGATTTGTCAATCCAAAACCCAAAGATATTCACTTTGATATGATGTAAAAGCAGGAAATCTTCATTTTTTAGAAGCTTAAATCAATACGATACCGGTTTAGTAACAATAAAAACATTTGCCGATTACTTTTCTACCGTTCGACTACTCATTTAGTCGACTTATATGTGCAGCTCTGATCAACTTTAGATAATCCTTTGTGCTTCCTTCAACTTTAACTCCTGTTTTCAGCTTTTCATTTTGTGACTGATGTTGTTGTTCACAGACTGAGCATGACACTTAACACTCAGGTAACTATGGGTTAGACTCACATTTCTAAAGTGCAAAACTGAAGTTTTCTAATGTATAGGCTCCCAACTTGGGTTGTGTCATTCAACCAGACATGATAAATAAGTACAGAAATAAGAAGGATCATAATGTGTACGAGGGAAAGGACTGTAAAAACCGTTGAATGGAATATCCTTCTCTTGTTAAAATAGCCAGGCAATCAAAAACATATGCAACATGTGAAAACATTTGCGAGCAGTGCTGCAAAGATTAGTTTGACAGAAAGTAATCGCCCACTATTTTATTATCCATACAGAAATGTCATAAAAGGCTGCTTTAGGCCTCTTAAATATCGATATTTCATGCCTTTCTCTGTATTATATCACATTAAAATGAATACCTCTGGGTTTTGTTCTGACCAAACTAAACTAAACATTTAAAGACATTATTCTACATTATTTTCTAACATATAACATTTGTAGAAGTTTCTATTGGACTTATCTTCTCTAAATCACTCGGTTGGCCAGAACGTATCCAATAATCAACCAATTTGCCAATTTCTGTTTATTTGAAGTGGTTTTAATTATAAGTTCTTGTGGTTATTGAAACGTTTTATAAAGCTAGTTTCTGACTTTGTATGTGTTTCATTTAGATGACTCTGTTTTAGCATGCACATGGCTGTCAGTTTTAAAGGACCTTATAGTAGAAATAGACAGTCCCGATGTAAATCCGTCACAGAGCATTCGCATAATAACATTTTTGCTGTCTTGTCATGTAAGGCGAGAGACAGAAACCTGATTTCACGAGTCATGCTTTTAGTGTAGGCCACACACCTTCACTGAGACGAGTGAAGCAATTAAAGTGATAAAGCTTTCTGTCATCACACCGGGAGCCCCTGAAATCCTGGCAAGGACCCCCGGGAGTCCCTGGACCCCAGATTGGAAACCCAAGTGGACCTATAATGAACTCCCACACAGACTCCTAATGACACCTTGTAGTAAGGGCCCATTTTTGACTGGCTTATTGAGGGGCAGTGACATCTTCAGCTCAAGTACAAGATCAGAAGTTTGCAACTGAGGAATTTCTGACAGAGAGAGAGAGAGAGAGAGAGAGAGAGAGAGAGAAAAAAAGAGAAAGAGAAAGAAAGAGAGCTTCCAGATGTTATGTGAGTAAAGACTGAAATGAAATCTGTTTCTTGCCAAAAACTAAAAAGCTCACAGAATTTCAGTTTCTCTCGCAGCAGCGTCATTATTTATCCATTAGGTAGGCTATTTTATCCTTTAATTCAGTGAGTCAATGAAGACACAAAACAGACCCAGATCACAGCTTTCAGATTATAAAATTGCAGCAAATAACACAGTAACTACAGCGATATGTTTCTTACCAGTTTGCCTTCTCTGCTTTCCTTTTTGTAATATCCATGATGGCTTTCGACGGGCGTCGTGCAGCTGCCGGAGCGCGAGTCGATCAGACCCGGGGAGAGGGAGCAGAAGGGCGGACTGGGGCTGGGGGGCAACCCCGAATCCGGACTGTCGAGCAGCCCTTCCCGGTTCTTTCCTTTCAGGCTATCATCCATCGCTTGTAAATGTAGGTGCCCCACCATTTCTGGGACGACTCAAGTCAAAAAAACACCCCGGACCAAGTTGCACTGACAAGTTGAGCGCTCCTGCCTCGGAAAGACAATCCTGGGTGAACTTCTTTTAGGAGGACTCCTGCAACCGAAGAAAAAGGGGGAAAATATGGATTTAATCAAAGCCCATACACTAGGGAAAAAAACTCCCCACAGTGATATGGATCCAGCCCTTATTTATCCAAAACATTACTGTACCTGCGCGTCGTGAAGTAGTCTGTCCACTTTTAATTCCGAAATATATTCCAATTTGCGGGAAAAACCAACCACAATCTTAAATACTAACTTCAACCTTCACACCAAAGTGTAGTTTACACTATTTATATATATCACAACTGAACAAAAACGTAATAAATCTCGCGCAAAAACAAAAAGTCGACCGTGCGTCTGGCACCGATCAGGATGAGAGCTCCTCTCCTCTGCTCTGCTGAGTGTGTGTGTGAGTGTGTGTGTGCGCATGTGTGTGTGCGCTCTGCAGCGGAGAGCTCCTTCTTAATGATCCTGCCAGGCTTTTTTTGCACCTGGGTTCAGTCCAGCCCTCATGATCTGGATCACTTCCATGAACAACCGACAGGGGCGAGCACGTCCTCCCTGCTCCTGCTGCACGGTGACCTATGACGGGGACTGACTGAGTGTAGTTATAATTGAAGTGCCTTTGAGCAAGTTATACCATCCCTTCTGGATCTAGGGTTTGGTTTATCTTGATAACTATAATTAACAGTTAGTTATTCATAAGTAGTAATTGGCACAACTGTAGTGATTTTCTAGTTGGCTACATAATAACAGGTTTATATAAAGGTTTCTTATAAACCAGTTGGTATACGCATTTCATCTTGCATTTCTCACAATAAGCAGTATTAATTATACATCACTAAATTACATTGATTAGCATTTATAATGTGAAACTTTCCACATTTAGATATTTATATTTGATAATATGTCACTTCATCAGAGAACTCTAGTTACCTTTGTTAATCGGTAGAAGTTAGTAATCACTGTTGAATACTTCCAATAGCTACCAATAACTATTACTATTATAATATTATTACATAATTAGCATTACGTTTCTGATTAGTGGCACCTCTATTCCTCTTTTTGTGTATTTATGGGACAATATTGGTAAATTGTCAATATAATCAAATTTTCTGCCAGTAAATATAGCCTTTTATCTCACTTTACCTACGAGTCATACTTTCTGTTTACAGCCTTTTAAACTAAAGAAATGGGAAGGTGTTGTCCAACATTTTTGTATACTGGGTTAATTTGTATTAGACTATACACATTGTGAAATGTTAAAAAAAGGTAAAGTCTTTTTTGACAAAATGAATGACACTCATCATGCCAAATAGCAACTTGTCTTCCTGAGGTGTAGATCTGAGTTGAACAATCTGAAACAGCTCAATGCATATCAAGTCTGAGAGATGAACTCCACAGCTAAACAAGAAAGTATATCATCTGCGTAACTGCACATTTGCAGATTTTTTAAGCTTACCTATTACTTTTTTTTGAAAGCCTGGAGCTCATCTCATTGCCAACATAGCAGAACAAATTAGCTGGGTATCTGCAATGAGTAAAACCCTTTACAATTTGAATGTTGTTCAGCTAAAGTTATCCGAAATGATCACAAAGTTATTTAAGCGTTGTTATCCTGAGAAACTCCCCTGATGTCAATCCTTGTATAGTTTTAGTTATTTCCAGAAATGATCAGTCGGCTGCCTTTGTGGAGCAGTTTGTTTTGTTCCAGAAAATATCTTGTCAAAGGATTATTAAAGGATCACTGAAGTTATTTTTCATAAGGCCTGGGTGTATATGTGTCTGTAACCATCTTGCCTGGTGTATTTCAGGACTGGGTGGAGTTGGGTGGGAACACTGTGTGCATTCAGCAGCCCCACACACACACACACACACACACACACACACACACACACACACACACACACACACACACACACACACACACACACACACACACACACACACACACACACCACACACACACACACACACACACACACACACACACGCATTTACAGTAGAAAACCTGAGTGAACAGCATGCAGAGGAGAGATTGAATCCTTGCTGATGGCTCTCTCCACATCATGTCTGCACTCTCTGTTCATACGGTTACTCTTACCAACAGCAGCCCTGCCAAAAGGGAAATCAGAGCATAAATAAGAGCCAGTGCAGAGCAGCACAGAGCAGACTGTGTGTCTTAAGTGGTTGATTGTATCTTTGATGGTCCACCAGCTCTCCATGGTGATTACCACAGATTGCCAGGAAATCATGCGTGATGTTTTTTCAGTTCGTATAAAAACTAAGATAACTCTGTGTTTGCCTTTGTTGTCTGGAAGATATATTTAATTGCATGCCCGTTAAGCTTGTGCAGCTGTAATCTTGTTTGCAGAGAATTGTTTTCCCTCCTCTGTGTTATTGTTTCAAAGCCGCGGCAGGAAGCTGTGGAGCGGCGCTGGGAGTTTTACTGGCATTTCCCGTGTCAGGTGTGTTTTTGTGTCATCATGTCCATCTTTAAGGGCCCGTCATGTTGATCCTCAGGGCAATCAAGGGATTAGTGTTGAGATCTGGTACAGATTAGCCATAAAATAGTGGGACACAGATGATGAGCGTGTTTGTGGTTGTAGGCATGTCTGTGAGCATGCCGATGGGAAGAGTTGCTCAACTGCAGCCTCATTGAGGAGGGAACCCAGGGAGTTCTCAACATGATTTAAGTGGCTATTCTGACATTTGCTTTTGGTATTTGATACATACTAAATTGTAAATATTAGCATGCTAAACTAGTGTAGCCATTGTATTTACTAAACTTGTTGTCGTTGTGAGTTTGTTAGCCTTCTGTTGTTGCACCACTGTGCTTAAGTACAAATCTAGATTGATGTTATGAAGACCACAAACTCAAATTACATTCAACCATATGTACACTGAACAAAAATATAAATGCAACACTTTTGTTTTTGCTCCCATTGTTCATGAGATGAACTCAAAGATCTAAAACATTTTCTATATACACAAAATAACCATTTATCTCAAATATTGTTCACAAATCTGAAAAAATCTGTGATAGTGAGCACTTCTCCTTTGCCGAGATAATCCATCCCACCTCACAGGTGTGGCATATCAAGATGCTGATTAGACAGCATGATTATTGCACAGGTGTGCCTTAGGCTGGCCACAATAAAAGGCCACTCTGAAACGTGCAGTTTTGCTTTGTTGGGGGGGTCTGGGGGGGTCCGAAAACCAGTCAGTATCTGGTGTGACCACCATTTGCCTCACGCAGTGCAACACATCTCCTTCGCATAGAGTTGATCAGGTTGTTGATTGTGGCCTGTGGAATGTTGGTCCACTCCTCTTCAATGGCTGTGCCAAGTTGCTGGATATTGGCAGGAACTGGAACACGCTGTCGTATACGCCGATCCAGAGCATCCCAAACATGCTCAATGGGTGACATGTCTGGTGAGTATGCTGGCCATGCAAGAACTGGGATGTTTTCAGCCTCCAGGAATTGTGTACAGATCCCTGCAACATGGGGCTGTGCATTATCATGCTGCAACATGAGGTGATGGTCGTGGATGAATGGCACAACAATGGGCCTCAGGATCTCGTCACGGTATCTCTGTGCATTCACAATGCCATCAATAAAATGCACCTGTGTTCGTCGTCCATAACATACGCCTGCCCATACCATAACCCCACCACCACCATGGGCCACTCGATTCACAACATTGACATCAGAAAACCGCTCACCCACACGACGCCACACACGCTGTCTGCCATCTGCCCTGAACAGTGAAAACCGGGATTCATCCGTGAAGAGAACACCTCTCCAACGTGCCAGACGCCATCGAATGTGAGCATTTGCGACGAACCGGAGTCAGGTCGAGACCCCGATGAAGACGACGAGCATGCAGATGAGCTTCCCTGAGACGGTTTCTGACAGTTTGTGCAGAAATTCTTTGGTTATGCAAACCGATTGTTGCAGCAGCTGTCAGAGTGGCTGGTCTCAGACGATCTTGGAGGTGAACATGCTGGATGTGGAGGTCCTGGGCTGGTGTGGTTACACGCGGTCTGCGGGTTGAGGCCGGTTGGATGTACTGCCAAATTCTCTGAAACGCCTTTGGAGACGGCTTATGGTAGAGAAATGAACATTCAATTCACGGGCAACAGCTCTGGTGGACATTCCTGCTGTCAGCATGCCAATTGCACGCTCCCTCAAAACTTGCGACATCTGTGGCATTGTGCTGTGTGATAAAACTGAACATTTTAGAGTGGCCTTTTATTGTGGCATGTCTAGATACCTCAAAACAGGCTACACATCTGTTTGTAACTTGGATGATCACATATACTGTTAGATGCCTGTTATGTTGTTACCCAACACCAATGTCTTTCCATTTAAGAAAACTGCTCACCTTTTCAAAACGTGTTTCAAAAAACACGTTTAAGCATGTGCTGGACTACAATTATCTTCCAACACAAAGTCTCTTTTTCATGTTGACATTCCCACTTGGGACAACTTCATATCACACCTAGAAAGAAAACGTTTGAAACAAATATTCACCTGGGACATATTTTACGTCTATCGTCTGGTTTAAATGTTCTATGTGTCAGTGCGCATCACCTTGGTTTCACTCAATTAGCAGTATAGTCAATTTAACTCTCAGCTGGTCACAGTTTAAACCAACAAACGAAACTTATTTTGCCAAGACTAGCTTAATGTTTTCTCCATGTGCTGTAATCCATCACAGGTTCCAGGAGATTCATTATTATTTTTAGCAACCTGCGATGGCTGTCTGCATACCTGTTTTATCATTCTCATTCAAGTAAACTTTCAATGACACTGCATATCAAACCTATGAACTCTCCTTTGTAGATGCAATACTTGGGACGTTATTGAACAGACATCTTTACCATTTGTTGAAGTAGCCATCCCTATTATGTGGGGGTTGATTGAAGAGTTCTGCAATCAGGATTCGGTTCCTGAGAGCTTTGAGGCAGACACAGAGGGGGGAGGACAGCCAAGCCGTCTGCTGATGATTCATTTTTTAGTGCTCCATCATCCTTCCCCCCTCATAGAGCAATCACACATATCCTGTTGCACACACACAAAACCTGAGGACACAAACATGTTTGTGTGCATGGAAGAAATTCACACACATACCCAGAGAAATAAAGACACACACATTCCTGATCTGCAGAACTCTCTGGCTCAGTTTCATTGCATTCAGAAAACGTTGCCAAGCCAGCTGTGCGGAGTGGGTCTGGAAAAGAGGGGGGGGGGGGAGATAATACAGGTGTGTGTGTGTGTGTGTGTGTGTGTGTGTGTGTGTGTGTGTGTGTGTGTGTGTGTGTGTGTGTGTTTTTGTTTGTTTGCAGGCACACAGTAAGAAATAGAAATACACTCACCTTAGGAGCAATTTTTCAAGTCTGTTTTTTCAGTGTGAGGTACACATATTTTCTGGAGGTGTGCAGTGTGTCGTGCACGTTGGCGTGTGCATGAGCCGTCTGGAATAGCTCTCAATGTAAACAAACCACAGAGAGGCCAGCCCTGGCAGTGAGCTTGTTTTGAGCCGCTGGGACGTCACTGTGGTTTCCACACACAACGCTCTTCTTCAGACTCCCAGCCAGGAACCGTCTCCATCTCACAGATAGGTGACCTTTCTCCAGTTTGCTTTTCACACAATGTACACGTAAACACTAGTCTCTTGTTCAGCGTTCACACGTGACCCCGAACACCTCTGGTCAGTTCCTCTTGGCCTGTTTTTAAAATTAGTTATGAACATGCTTTGACTCTATGACAGATGAGCCTGGCATATTTCTAAATATGCCATTTGGATCCTAGAGTTCAATCCATAATGCACCTCACGTCTCTGGAGCCTGGTTGCATCTGGTTTTAATGTGTGGAGACCCCTGCCTGGATGAAGAAGACAGTCCTCACCCTGCAGCTCCCCCTCTATCACCACCAATACGTTTTTCCTCCCTTCCCTCACAATCTATTTTACTATGAAGATAGATGGTCCAAAGCCCACTCCAATCCCAGCTTCACCAGACCATGTTGACCTAAAAACATTTCTAAATGGCTGCCTTAAAATAATCACTGGGATAAAATGCTGATTATTACTCTGATAAAGTCAAGTACATTTAGTCACCTGTAACCATGCTCATTAGATTATTTACTTGGCTCCTTACCTTGGGTCAAGCCTAACATTGCAAAAAAAGCAAAAGCTTGGGAGTGATCATTAGTAAAAACGTTTTGAAAAATTGCAATATGCTTAACCAATACAGTATTTCTAAGTATAAAGTAAAAACATTTAGTTTTATGTCAATCGAGTTGTTCTATTCAATGAAAAACTGAAATTCTAAGCACATTATTGTGGACATACCACAACCCACAAGTTGTTGGGTGTGTTACTCAGGCTCATTAGAACATGTTGCACCCATAATTGACAACTACCTTTTCAATTTGACTTGCCAGTCAATCAGAGGAGACCAGGCTTTTTCAAGAGGGGGTCTTCAAGAGACAGGCGCTTAAACTGAGTGTTTAAGGTAAAAGAGGTATAGTATGATGGAAAGTACGACAAATAAGAATGTATTTTGAACCTGAGATCAAAACTGAGTATGATAAGTTCCCTTTTAAAGCTAGGGCTTTAAACTACCAAAATGTCAGTGTCATAATTTCTCCTCTGCCTGTTTTGCAGGATTTTATTTCACTGTGTTCCAGTTTAATTTGTACAAGTTTGTAAGAGTAAGCGTGAGAGTCTTGAGGTGACAAAGTTGTTGTTTGCATGTT